GATCCCCTCTCTTCATACCCGTTTCATTCATACCCGATTCAGTTTATCATTCTGTCTGTCTTCTGGTATCCCTTATCTCTCTAGCCGAGTTAAGTCTGGCCACCCTGAGAATCGGTAATAGAGGCGTAACTTGAAACCACAGGGCCCCGGTGCAAAAAGTTGCCCTGGGGCCCCCACATGCATCCTACCTCCCGCCCCCCACTCTTCCATTTTTATAATATAACACATACAGATATATACATGGACACACATGCTAATACATGCTAATACACAGACACACAGAAAAGCACACATTCAGATACACAGAATGACACTTCTACAGATACAAACAGTGACACACATACATAAATCACAGACACACACTGAGACTCATGTGGATACACAGACACACATACAGACAGATACACATATAGACACACATGCATGTGCACATACACAGAATAACACTCATACAGATACAAACAGTGATACACATACAGATACATAGGGGCACACACTGACAAATGCAGCTACACATGCAGACAATCAGATACACATACAGACACACGTGCAGAAAAACAGATAGACATACAGATACACATACACACAAACAGACACACATCTAGACAGACAAACAGATAAACATACAGACATATATGTAAACAGATACACATACAGACAAACAGATACACATACAGACACACAGAACATACAGAACTCATGTGGATACACAGACACACAGATACACATATAGATACATGCAGATACACAGACACACTTAATGACAAACATTCAGATACACAGAATGACACACATACAGATATAAACAGTGACACACATACAGATACATAGGGGCACACACTAACACACATGCACACAGATACACATGCAGACATACAGATACCCATACAGACAAACAGAAACCCGTATAGACAAACAGATACACAAATAGACCCACATGCAGACAAACAGATACACAGACATAGAGATACACATACAAACCCACATGCAGACAAAGAGATACACATACAGACAAAGAGATACACATTCAGACACACATGCAGACAAACAGATACACACACGCACGCACACACACACACACACACACACACACAAACTGTTAAACATTTTAGTCACCCTCCTGTTTCCTACCTTTTAGGTGCAGGAGGGTGACTTCCATAGGGTCCAGTGGCTGGCTCCCACTCTGACTCCCTCCTCTGCTTCCCCGGCGCTCTCCTCCCGCGTGCTCCGTGTAAGCTGTGAGGACATCATCATGAATTTCCTGGGGCCCGATCAGCGCTGGAAATTCATTGCCATCTGGTGGCCCCTGCAACTGTACCTCTATCCTTTATGGATTAAGTGTAGTGTGGATTTCAGTACTGCGTATCTGGGGTATCCTGTACCGTTACACAGCGGTGGAACATCAACCAGTTGAGTTGTGAGGCTGCACGGGGCCCGGGTGCTGGGGGGGACGACCCATTGGTTGGCCACTTGATGGGTATTGCTGAATATGTGTATCTGTGTGTCAGTGTGTAAATGTGTAAGTGTGCATATCTGTGTCAAGGTTTGTGTATGTGTCAATGTGTGTATCTTTGCCAAGCTGTGTGTATGTGTAAGTGTATGAATCTGTGCCAAGGTGTGTTTTTATGTCAATGTGTGGATCTGAGTATGTGTGTATCAATGTGTATGTGTCAGTGTGTGTACATGTTTGTGTGTATTTGATTGTCAGTGTTCGTATCTGTGTGTCAGGATGTGTGTATGTGTCAGTGTGTGTACATGTTTGTGTGTATTTGTTTGTCAGTGTTCGTATCTGTGTGTCAGGATGTGTGTATGTGTCAGTGTGTGCATATGTGCGTCGAGGTAGTGTCAGGGTGTTTATAAGTGTGTATCTGTTTATTAATGTGTTTGTATGTATGCATGTGGCAGTGTATGCCTGTATGTGAATACATCCCAGCAATCGGACACCAGCACAACAAACAAACACACTACTGAATTCTCATGGCAAATTAACATATGACTACACCCTTACATGCAGACACACATTCTTTATACAAACACTGTTTACAATTACAATCTTGCAAGGATAGGCAAATGGTAGATTCCCAGTTTGCATAGCATTGTGGGAGTTGTACAAAAGATGCTGATCTATCTTTTGGCCATTTTTGCTCTAGAGGGGGGGGGCAAAAATATCTTGCACCTTCTCTAGATTAATATATAGACAAAACATTTGGGATAAAGCTGATATTTTCCTAAAGACAATAAAATAAATAATACATAGTGTAATACTGTATATAAGATGAGTAATCACGCAGCTTCATATAACACTTGCGAGCACGTGGAATATCAAGTGTGCGTCCTCCGAAATAAGTGGGGGGCTATAACCTCCTCAGGATCTCCACTCCCAACCAGGTACCAGAAAAGTAACTGGATTTCAGGATTCCAATAAGAAAGATGGTTTTATTTAACATCAATAAAAAAATGAAATCATTAAAAAATCGAGGTCCTACGCATTTCGTTCCTGAGGGACCAATATTAAAATCAATAAAGTGCAAACAATATGCAGTAATACAGCCTGAAATCCCCCCTTCCACCAGTGCCTTTAAATAGGGTAAGTCCCAAAAATTCCATTGGTGGTGTAGTGGGTGTTCTTCCTTCCTCTCTGGAATGGAGGAGATCGCATCCTGTATGGCTCATCCAACATGGCCGTAC